TGTTTTTTTTCTGTTCGGTAAGGTATTTTAAATTGCAGGTTTAAAAGCTTTCAGCTTCATCTTTTTTTTTAATTTTGAAAGTTGTTTTGTTAATTTTTTTAAATTAAAAATTAAACGCTTATATTTAAAATATTATTCTTCATTTTATAATAATATTGTTATAAAATATTATTATAAAAATTAATATAAATTTTATATTAACTTTTATAGTAATTGATAAAAAATTAAGTAAAATTAAATCTGTATGATTTATGTATTGATAAAAATACACAGAATTTTCATAATAACTAAATATTTATCTATTATAGAGTTTGCTATCTAGGAATTTATATTGTAGTTACAAAAATTGTTTTTTTATTTACAAATGCATAAGTTAAATTAAAATAACAATGTCATTTATTCTTATATCAAAGACATACATATCTTACATATAAAATGCTTTACGCAAATTAAGTTTTACGGATAAAAATAAACAGTGAATTTCTTATTTAATTTAAAATAGATTTTATTTTAATTTTATTTGAAAGTATTAATATATTTTGTATCTTGAAAATTAAAAGATTGTTAAAGAAGTAGCAGTTATTTGAACTTTCTCTACAAGTAGTGATTTTAAATTTCTTAAGGAATTTATAACAAAGTAGACATGTAACAAAGTAGAAAGTAGACGACTTTTGATGTGCACTGTGTTTTATACCGACAATCACCCACTATTTACTGGCGTCGTTTGCTGAAAGTTACACCCGCACGTGTTTTGCGGTTAGTAATGGCAACTTACAATACGTCCGGAATGTGTGGTCGAGGACATTGTATTACCAAGAAGGCTACTCACAGGCTTATTAACATTCCACGGGGTCGACATATCGGTAATTTTGTCATTGCACGATCTTTCCGGCACGTTTATCGTGCGATCAAGTTTTATCAATTGGCATCTTGTTGCGTAATTTTTTAGGAATTTTTTGGAAAAGATTGAAATCAAGATTACGTACCAAAATATATTTAAAATTTCGACAATAAATTGAACAAATTCTTTATAATATTATATATATATATATATATATATATATAATTTATATTTTATATTTTATATTTTATATTTTGTTTTGTATTCCTGTGTTTAGCATAAAATATTACATCTGATTCTTAGTCTAAATAAATATGTAATCTTTAGGTAAGATAAATGATATTTTATTAGAATCTCATACAGTCATGTTTAAACGTGACGTACGAATTAGTATCTTTACAAGATCTTTATCTGATCTATTGTTCCATGAATGCTTATCAATGCGTAAAGTGCAAAATGCGATCTCTATATCTATAAGATAACAGCTGAGGTTGACGTAAGAGTTGAAAATCGAGTGTACCGAGCTGCGAGAGATTATCTTCGAGAAGGCAGTACGAACTAAAACTAATTTCCTGTCGCAGTATCGTGACGTGTCGCCAACTTGTGGCGACCGTTATATAAACTTTACTCAGAGTTACATAAGAACATAACGTTGCACATTTTTTTCAAGCTCAACGTATAACTTTGATCGATACAGTCAAATATACGGCATTTCGATCTAACCAAACAAGTATAGATGCGTGCTATAATCGTCTGCATGCATGATTACGTAAAGGTGGTAAGACGTTTTTCGGACGTGATATTTACCTTATGACTACTTGAAATTGCGTGCAAGAAAGTGGAATCCAGTTTTAGTCGCGTGATATGGTTATCAAATGTTCGATTTGATTTACTCATTAAATTATTGCTAAAACGACTAAAGCAACACTTCTTAAAGGTTGAAAGCGAAATGAGTAATAAGTAATAAGTATAACTAATAATAATTGATGTTTAACTTTCTGTTTAGTTGCATAGTTATTATTTTAAACGATAATTTAACGTTAATCTAGTAAATTATAATAGAGTATTAACTTAATCACTTGCATGTAAAGATTAATATACGATAAAAGAGACGAACAAATACAAGTTGATTATGGTAACTGAAGATGCACCGCAATCTCCGGGTTTCTGCGTCAAGGTTGCTTACTGTAAGTAATCAACACCGTTCGTCCGCGATGATCTATTTTCTACAGCTCATCGATCAGCATTTATTTTATCATACCCACGGAACAGCGGATCCTGATATCGAACCGTTATAGATACATTTTAATAGCGGTTAGCATATGTGGTTTCATATAAAATATTTCTTGTTGGATTATGCGAACTTCTGTTACTTACTACCTACTTATGCATTCCAATCAATCGTAAAATGAAAGACGTCATGCATACAAATGTGTACAACTATAGTAAAAAATATAATATATGAAATCCAGAATGTACAAAAAAAAATTGACGTTACTTCAGCTTTGGTCAGAAGTACAAAACATTCGCACAAATTAACGTAAACGTGTCTAAAAATAAATTAAAAATAATTTTAATAAAAAATTAATATTTGATTACTTTTCTTTTTATTTTTATTATCTCTTTTTCAGAAAGAAAATGCAATAATTGAAAGTGCTTTATTCCTACCAAGGTAATATATCACGTGATAAAAAAAAACGTTTTTTTTTTTTAAATAAGTGTTGATGACAACATTAGTAACAACATAATAACATTGAGTTCTTTGCGTTGTTGGGGCGGACACGCAAACTCGACGAATTAGTCGATAGAGTGGGTAGCGACGTAATGATCACCGGCACATAAATTTAGCAAAGAGACGAGGCGAGAGACGAAATGCCGGGCGAATAATCCAAATGTGATGAATGCTGGTCAGCTTTACTTTGGAACGGATCCACGCGAGCGCGAGCTCGGCGCTCCGACACCGAAGATTACGAGCCTCTCGGATCTCCGGAGGCTCGTAGTCGACACGCAACGTCAAGCTCGCGGACGAAATTCTCTAACGCTTTTCGACGTTTGACATATTCGCCCACACGCACCTGCTGACTCTCCCTCAAATCTCTGAACCGCACGCCTCGTTTCCGCTTCGTTGCGTGGCATCCGTCCCCGCCCGTTTTTAATTCCTCCTTAGGCTCTCGTTGATAAATGTACATTTGCCTTGCTTAAGATCGCCAGATAGCACATGGACTTCTAAATAACATTTAATATTTAATCGCTTAGTATCAGTACTCGACATTTAATAAACCACATCGTTTTGTCATTTTACGTTAGTTAATTTCATTTTGATACATGTACATTTTGATTAACGTATGCACGTACCTTAACTTATATGCACGCGCTATCATTTTTTTATATACTTATCGTGCAACATCCCTTCTCATCCGTTATCTTTACCGTTAGTATGAGACAGTTGTGTTAAACGACAGATACGTAAGAGATTTTCATCGCATTGACTGGCAATTGAACATTTTTAATACGTATGCGCCTTCAGGCGGACAGGTATATTTTACCTTCTTCTCGATGCCAGGCGTTTGACCAATAAAATTATAACTTCTCAGCGTAGGATCCGTAGAACAAAGGAGCTTTGAAGTCCATCAACCGATCGTTTGTGCGCAAATGCACCTTTAAGTATTTATAGCATGTGACGTGTGCATCTGACCGCGACGGAAGGATTTATCGCGCTGCCGAAAGCAGCGTCAACTATTTCGTTGAGATAAACAGACTCGTTGTTTCCCCCGATCTTTTCCAGTGAAAATACAAGCTAGGAGTTGAATAGGGAACGCCGCCGCGGCGGTGCGGGCCTGCCGGAATTATTAGCTTGTCAAGAAATTAATGTTACCCCCGAGAAATTGCCACGCACCGCTTTCACTTATGCGCACCATACAGCATGCCGGTTCTGGAATGTTGGATAAATAATTCCTGTGATTTTCTGCGTGTTCATTGTGATGCTAAAAGTAGGTGTTGCACCTGACAGTAGATCAGCCATTCTCCCATTTTCATGATACAAAACGAACTACGCGTTTCTCCACTTGAGCCAACGGTATTTATCAATTGCTAAATTGATACTGTAGGATATTCCATCGGGAATATAATTGGATCTTTCTCATCATCAATTCTTTCGCTGCCTCTGCTAAAGATAATTTTCGTATTCTAACTAAGTCTAGAGTACAGCCTATACGTTTTACTTGGATTTTAATTTTGAGGTAGAGAAAAAGTTAATTAGAGATAGCTTGGGTCAAGCGTAATTGAGTCGGGTTTTCAATCCTAATTGGATCTTCCTTAAATTTTAATCTCAAATGTATAATTTTCGTTGTCATTCTATATATCACTCTAATATTTATACATTTCAAAACATAAAGCAAAATGAAGGACAACGAAGATGGTTTATTTTAGATTACAAAGCGAAGAAGCAATTATTATTTTAATAGAAATTTTGGATAAAACTGAAGAAAATTAGAGCTGGATTATTCGATTTTTCTACTACTACTACTACTATTATCTTTAGATGGATTTTCATGTGCATGCATTTGATTATACAAATTGTTCGTTAATGTCCTATAATTCTGTGATTGCAAGGGATACATTCTCGGCCGACTTGTGCCGCCGCTTTTATGTTACTTTCTGCAATGCGCCGCATCAGTCTCCCATAATACATGAGAAAGAAATAGAATGCTTTCGTAAGCGTCGTTTCCATAAATATTAGTTAAGGCTAACGGATTTTAATCTACTCGTCGACTTTTTTTCGAGACAGAACTGGAAAGAGACGGGAGGTCGGTTAAGCTCCAGTTAACTTTAACAAATCTTTATGGGAATGGCCCTACGGGATGATTGCAGGAGGGATGATGGTTGGCACTAGAAACTAGCCCTGCGGAGATCGTGCAATAAATTCTTGCTCACAGGCATTGCGCGAGCATGCGAGAAAGGGGGAAAGAAAGAAAAAAGGAGAGAAAGAACCGGCACGCTTACTTACTTCGCAGCCCGCATTTTCCGAGACATCGGGTGGCGAACCGGATAGAAACGGTCATAAAATCTCCACCACTCTAACGATTAAGGCGCGTCTCAGTGACTCTCTGGGCATCCCAGAGATTATTAGCCTGTACCAGCACCGATCATGCCTGACGTGGTACAAACCGCCTTCATCGCTATATCGCGACTATATTTCTTTCTCTCAACGAGCGGTGCCGCGCGGATGCCCGCTATTTGGAGTCGCTATTTGGAGTCGCTATTCGGAGGCGCCCAATATGTCGTACCAGCACGAGAATTGGTCGCCATTCGGCCGGTTATTTGGGGACAGAGAGAGGTACTATCACGAATATAAACATCCAACGACCGCGATCCTTATGGTGGTACGGAGTTAGCAGGCAACTCCGCCCGGTTGCCAAGAATCTCACGTCCCTACAGCATCCGCCTTGCCGCAGTGCCAAGAGAACGTATTCTGTTTCTTCGTCTTGCTCCCTCCGTCTCTCTTTCTCTCTCTCTCTTTCTCTCCTTCTCTTTCTCTTTCTCTCTTTCTCCTTTTGCAGTCTTGCGTTTTGCTCTCCATCTCGCTCTCTTTCTCTTGGTAGAAGAGGTTCCATCTTGACCTGGACTAGAGCATGCTGGTAACCATTTTTCTTCGGACGCTTGCTTCGCTCGATCGGTGATCCCTAGGCCAGAAAACATGGAACGAGAGATTAGTACAGCACGCAGCTGATACACCTTCTCTGTCTATCTACCTCTCTGCCTCGCCGTTCGCTCTCGCGCAGAAAATACGTGCGGTAGGATAGGGAGAGAGGTGAGACGACCAGCGACAACGCCGTCGGTACGGCGTGTCCATTCTCAATGATAGAATGGCGTGATGTATCAACATGATATTCGAAATTGTCGCAATTCGTATCGCCTAATAGCGCTCACCTCTACTGGTTATTTTCGTCAGCGCTTGAGTGATGAATCGATGTCAACCGATATTGTGCTCCTCGAAATGTTTCTCTCGTTAGCTGTAGTCTAATGAAGTCCCTACACTCGTACATTAAGAAAAAATGTTTATGTAATAAAAATAATTAATGTAATTCTCAATTGAATGCGTGGCATGTAATTTTATATAAAAAATAACTTTGCGTTACTTCAAAGTTACTTATTAGAGTTATTCTCACCAAACATGTTTGATTTAAATTTATTTTAATATAAAAATAATCTATTTAAAGCGATTCTCTCAAATTAAGGCGTTAGTCAAATTCACGAAATCTGGTAAATTGTGTTTTCGATACTCTGATCTTCAGAACGGTGAAATAGAGATATGTTGCATCAAGAAAGGAAAATTATTTTTAAGTTTATTTTCCCAAGTTTCTTTGGCACAAAATGATTCCAATTAACAGCGTGGATTATTTGAATAATTGAAATATTTTGATAGAAATATTTTGATGCGGCACGATCGAATAGATTGGCAAACGTAATCGATTCGTCGTATTGTTCGAAAGCATTCCGTGTTCGCGCAATTTTGCCGCAAGGTCCGCGGTATCTCCTTGTAAATCTAGTTTAAGTATCTACTTTACATAATTAGAGTTGTTTGAATACCGCGCGATTTTCCTTTTACAATACACATGCGATTCCATCGCGGATATTATGAACGTTGATTGGAGCCACTTCGAACGATTTGGTTTACGTGAGGAAAAGACCGGCTATTAAATTTATTATTGGTCGTCACGAAGACATGTAGCGCGAAAAAGGTGTAATAAAGTCTACGTATGTTCGCAAAATGTCTAGGCACAGCCAACCAAATTAAAAATTCATAAGCTACAGCTACAAGTTTATAAATCTATTTTCACGCTTGTATAATTTATATTGCACCCATAACTAAATATATAACGGTAAACGCGCGTTAAAGAAAAAAAAAAACATTTATTTTAATGAAGTACTTTCTCTTCGCTTATGTATCTTCTTCTGTAATAAATTCTGGGCTAATTTTAGGAATTCCTCAAAGCGTAATGACTATTATGGCACGCAAATACAACGCAATCTTTATCACAGAACGTGACTCGTCAACATGATTAAATAATGCAGTTAAATAATATATAATACATTAAATAAATGTTTCAACAACACAATGGTACTTCCGCAGCTAGTTCCATACGGCACGCTTGCTTACATGCAAATTGCCCTTTAATTTGTTCGATAGAGCTATTATACTCATTTTTTTCTTTTCCTACAATAATTCGTATTTGATTAATAGTCAATAATTCACGGTATAGATGTGGTGATTCGCGCTGATTATGCATTCCTCGTAAGGGCATACGAGGCCACAAATGTGCGCTGTTGCAGCTAACGCAATCGCGTCGTAATTGAACCATTACGAGTGTCAGGGAAAATGTAAGACTCGGATCGTGCCGCCTCTACGAATCAGTGATCGATGCTTTACGATCCAATTGATCTACGATCGAATGCTCAGTCCTATTTTGGCTGGAAAATTGCGCGATAGTTTATGATCGATGATATACCCTTGTATTATAATACAATGTTGTGTGTATTATTATATAATACAAGGATGTATTATAATGCAGTTTTATTTATTCTTTTACAGAATATAATGGATAAAATCAATTGATGAAATCTATTTTTTTATACGATATATCAACGCACTTGTAAATATATTTTGCAAAAGCTATCAAAAAATCTAAAATTTCGTCTTATTTTTAAAATTCTGGAGATGAAAGTGTTAGAAATGTATATTTAACAAGTTTCGTATGTGTGTTCAGCTATCACATTAAATTTAAACGCTTTAAGAGTTGGTTGTTCAATTTTTGGACAAACTATGATAATTTATTTAATGAATAAACAAAAGAATAAAAAAGATAAGAGATGGAATAAGAAAATAAGAAGAAGAGAAAAAGAAGAGAGATCAGAAAGAGAGTAGGAAAGTAAGAGAACTACAGTTAAGAGAGCTACAGTTTATCGAAAAATGGAACGACTCAGCCTAACTGTTTATTTTTATATCGATATAAAAATTTAAACTTGATAAATTCGGCAAAGATTGGTAACTATAGAAACGGCGCAATACCATGAATATTTTACGGTTTGAACAGAAAGTTTCGTTCGAAATGAAACTTTATCGTTCGTTTTCTTTTTTTGGGGAAATTATCTTTCTGATTGAAGAAGACTATCAGCGTTTTTTGCACGCAATTTAACAGAACGAGACCGCGATACGACGCGTGAAGTAAAAGTATTTATAGGTTGAAGCTTCTTGAACGGAATCTGGAGCAGACTCGTTCGTCCGAGACGAACGATCGAACGCCCGATACTTATCATATTGTTTTATTCATTCAACGATTATCATCCTTCTCGTTTTACAAGCATCACGCAGCAAGCGCTGCGTAAAACTACGGGGAGAGAGAAAGGTCGGGGCGCGGTCGTCTCTGAATGAGGCAAATCGATCTGTATAAATTGGTGAAATATTACCAAACGGAATTTATTCATCGAATATGCAAATTTTATAAGTAAAAATATTGCAGAATATTTATTATTCTACAAAAAAAGTATTTAAAAAAAATTTTTTGGTTTACCGTCTTTTTAATTAATGTTTATAATTATAAACTTTTATTTTTTTTATCACACTTTTCACACAGTTTGCAATAGCATCTTGTATATTAAAAATTGTAACAAAACCGTCCTTCTCTTTTTTTGTATGTAATCAGATACAATTTTTGTGTGTTATCAGTTTATATTATATTGAGTTAGTAATGTGTTATAATCAACTTAAGAACATGATTTTAAGTATTAAGTATTAAGATATATTGGATAAATATTTGTATCGTAGATGTTTATTTGTAAAAATTCTTTATCTGAGCGATGCAAATTATTCATTGATCGGAAACTTTTGGCAACTATTGTACAGGTAACATTTTTTTGATGACACTTCTCAAAATGTAAATTATCGCGCTCCTATCGTACAATAAATTTCGCACTATATGATTAATATTTCATCCAACTGACAAACGACAGAGCTATTACCAGTGTGCCAACTAGATCTCATTTATAACGATGACTACTGTGTCCATTCGTTGTTTCGCAATCATTCTCTAATCATCGGCCGGTTCAGGTGTTTGGAATGTAGAATGGATTATTGCCAATATAGATACAGGCAAGAGTTCTTGTGGAAGACACGCAAATGGTACATTGTGTTCCATAGTGAAATCGTAGACATGTATACGAGTATTACAGTCCGTTACTATAACGTCCATGCCTAAGCCCGAAACGCTACTAAACAATCGCCGTCCTACGCCATTCCTCGAGATCCTCCATAGAGGCAGGAACTAGTTTTGCAAATCAGCCAAGGCCTCGATCACTGCTGTCGATGTCATGGCAATTCGTGTTTGTATATTATCAATGACATTCACATCGACATGAATGACCTCGGCTGTTAGTTTGAAGATTAATCTTGTACAAAATCCCTGTAATATTATATTTACATGAATAATAATAATAATAATATCTTACATGAATATTTTAACACTTGACAAAGTAAATGTATGATAATGAGACAAAGAGAAATGATTACACATTTTTTAATTTTATTTATTGCAAAGCTTGTAAAACATTATTTGCCAAAATTAGTAATATTTTTTATCAGTATCTGTCTTTTATCAGATTGAAAATAGAATGTTTGCTATATTTTATTAAGAAATTTATTCTTCGCGAGATTCTGGTCTCAAAATTCTTATCATAAAATGTCAAAGCCTCCTTCAGGATTAGTCGGAATCTTATAAAAATATATACTTTGCACACTTATTAATGGAGTTTGATTAGAAATTCAATTTTTTTTTATACGTTTTGTTTCTCTTCTAAGAGAATCTGATTAATATAATATCCACACGGTCGAATAGCGACCATTGATCCGTGCGCTTATATGATACGTTTTCGTAACGTTTAAGAACTTGAATCGAGTACCGGTTTATAGATATATATTTACTTAGCTGTAAAAGTGTCTACCAGATGGTTAAATATTTAAATTCTTGACGATTAATGATGGATGGAAAACTGGAGCATCGCTGGTTGCTTAGTTGTATCTGTAATTGCTGTATTAATGTTTATATCTTATCTTGTATTTATTACCTACTCATATTTCTGATCTTTGTTTATATCATATTTCCATGTTATACTTGCATGTAGCTTATCACATACAGTGAGTGCAAAAAATATTCGTACAGGAGAAAATTTCATAAAAAAAAGCCTTATAGAGAATAAATAAATTAATAATTTTATATAATGAGTACATTTTATCTTAATATAAACGATTCATGTTTATGCGATTTCTTAGAAATTAAATAGACTGTATGTATACTTTTTGCGCGCCTAAATTCTAGATAACAAAATAAAACTTTTCATTTATTTTTAAGAGATTTTCACTTATTTTTAAGATAATTAATATATTTTTTTAATTATTACACATTTTTTATGTACAATTATTTTGAGAAATAAGCAATTTATTTTATTTTTTATTAATAAATTGTTAATTAATGTTTACTTTTTAGAAGCAAAGTTTTTTTTAAAGATATCTCTCCTCTGAATGCTTTTTGCATTCACTGTTTGATAAATGATATATTTTATATAAATAATGTTAATAATAAATTGATAAGTTTAAATGTTATCAATAATTTTGATATATATATAAATATTAATGATTATTAACTTATATATCAAAGAATAGAATAGTAAATAGGACTTTTATAGTAACTGAAGTGAAAACGTCGGTTACAATTCCAGTACAAGTCAATATTTAATACATATTAGAATTATAGTGTTTTTTTTATAAATGTTAATTAGATTCAGCGTAAAGATTTCAGACTGATCAGTAAGAAGACTTGTAGTGAGCGAATATGATAATTTTACGATAAATCCATAAAATGTGACAACATAATATAATTCTGTTTAATCTCTTGCGATCTCAAAATTAATTCAGACAAGGAAATTTTTGCAGAAATTCATCTGTGCATCAAGATATTTGCAGTAAATTGTCTATACGA